CTGCACGGGCGGCGTCTACCGCCGAGGCAACACGGCGCTGCAGGAGTTCATTCTGGTCGTGCTGCCCAACATCGTCTGGGTCATCATTCCCCTCGGGGTCATGGCCGAGCTGTGGGGATGTCTGACCCCTCAGGGTCAAGGTCAGGCAGCTTTCAAAGGCGTCGGCGTTGACAACAACAGCAGCAACAACAGCAGCAACAGCAGCAACAGCAGCAATAACAAAGTCAATGGCGTCACCAGCGGGCATTCTTATGGGGCGACCGCAAAGAAAGCTCTATGAGAAAGCTTCTGGTTTCGCTTCATAATCCACGTATTCTTCCTTTTTCTTTTTTACCCTTCCTTTATTATTCATTCTGGATCTGCCATTCTTCCGTCCTCCTCCTGTCTTTATTTCTTCATTTTCTGTCTTTTTCATTTTTGCTTTTGTTTTCTTTTATCATTATCTGTTGAGACGAACGGCTTAAACGTCTCTTTTTTCATCTAAAGCCTTTCTTGCTATCTTTTGCAAGTACCATCTTTCTCCTCACATGACTTTCCTCGGCCCCTCTCAAATTTACCTTTACTTCCTTTCCACTTCACTTCATTTCGCCTCATTCCGACTGCCTCCAGTTTGGATACCCCCCCCCCCCCCCACACACACACACACACTCATACAATTTTTCGATCTTCGTTCGGTTGTTTGAAATTTCGTCTAAAAAAAGATAGAGAAGACATGATTATTTTTTGTCAGTAGTGCATTTGATTATTTTTATTTATCTTCTTTTTTTTTTTTCAAACGAATGTCGCAGAAAAGAACGAGTTTATGGACAGATTCCATACTGAGTTAGTAACTTTTGTGTTTCACTGGGAAAACGAAACGATGTTTCTGCCTAATTTTGTATGCTTTTTTTCTGTTAGACCTAACCGTAAGTATTGCTCAGCCAAATTGATACATTTTAGCCTTGACAACTTGTTAGCATAGCCGGAGCACATGTCTTCGCGTCTTTTTCTCTCCGGGCGTGTATTAATGTTACAGTTTTAATCATTTCATCTGTCTGTCTGTCTGTCTGTCTGTCTGTCTGTCTGTCTGTCTGTCTGTCTGTCTGTCTGTCTGTCTGTCTGTCTGTCTGTCTGTCTCAGTGTCTGTCTGTCTCTCTCCTTCTACGAGTATCTTTCTGTCTCTATCTCTGTCTCTCTGTCTCTGTCTCT